GCTGAAGCTGCAAGCTTGCTAGCCTTAATACTATTTCTATACTGCCTGTTTCGACGAAAACAGAAGGCGGATACTAACGGAAAACTCCCTCAACCATCTAGTTCATGGCCTTTAAAAGGCCATCTGCATCTTCTGGAAGGACTTCCTCACATAGCCTTGGGGAAATTAGCAGATAAATATGGTCCAATTTTTATGATTAAGCTCGGTGTACAATGAGCCTTGGTTGTAACTTGTAAGCACGGCAAAGATAGCAAAAGAGTGCTTAGGCGGCACCAGTGACAAAGTATTCTGAAATCATCCCCAAACAATATTTGTAGAGCATATGACTTACAATGGTGCTATATTATGTTAGGCTTCAGCCAATATGGTCAATTCTAAGTTTACCACTATCGAGCTACTGTCCAACCATCGAGTAGAGATGTTAAAAAATGTCAGGGTCTCTGAGGTAAGATTGGCCATGAAGAATACATCTACTGCTAGGTCTGAATCAACTGACATGAAACAATGGTTTACTGATGTAAGTATGAACACTATAGTAAGATTAATTTCAGGCTAGTCAATGAAGGAATGTTATCAAGGGGAGGAATATAATAGGTGTGTAAAGGTATTCAGGGATTTCTTCGAGTTGGCAGCTATATTTGTCCCTGCTAATGCTCTGCCCTTCCTGAGGTGGTTAGATATTGAAGGGTACGAGAAAAAAATGAAGAAAGTGGCAAAAGAGATTGATCATATAGTCGAAAGGTAGTTGGATGAATGTGGCAAAAGAGATGTGATGCTTGGTATTTTCCAGACAGGACAAGAAACGGCTTCCAAATTCGAAACTGATACAATCATTAAAGGCACTTGCACGGTAAGAACTTTTACTCATTTTTCAAATTTAGTTTCAACATTAATAAGTATGATAGATTCTTAGATACTCTAATGTTCTGACAAGCTCAAAAAATTACATCACAAGCATGTTTTCACTAAGGTTTAGCTCATAAGCGGGGTTTAAGTTGTGATTAAACTTATGTGGTTTGCGATTTGAAGTAATTTTGAGACACAACGAGGTAAAGAACAAGTTCTTCAGAGTTGTCTAAAATTCAGAGATGACAACTCTGTTGATTGGTATAATTGGGAAAATTTAACTAGCAAGCACAACTCAAGTTTATTGGCATTCATAACAGAACAGATGAAACAGTACCAATAAAATAGCTTTAAGCTGAAGGGTGTTAAGAGAAAATATGATCAAGAACATAATGGATTCATTGGCAGAAAACACACTAGCAAATAAGTTTTAACAATATTTCATTCAACTATCTAGTACCCGATTACGAAGCCTTCCGATTTTACAAGTAGGGGGAAGGAGAGGTCATCACATACCTTATCAGTTGAAGGAAGGAAAAATTCCGGAGGGTAGCAAAATGACCATTGATTCTCTCTCGTCTTTGCCTCTCAGCCTCACAATAGTTCCTCAGAGCAATCGAATTCTTCCTAACCTCATCCATTTTACTGTCAGAAAGTGGTGACTCTCATACCCTTCCTAATGATTTACAACGTAATTCCAGATTCTTTGGCATAAACAAGCCAACATCAGGAATCTCTCGACTTTGGACTAGAAAACTCAAATCCATTGCACCAAAAAAATGAAAGAGATCGTTAAGGATTAAGAAACGAAATACACGACTAAGTAATCTATGAAAGAATTAAGGATGCAATTTTAATTTCCACCATTGGATGAATCGTTTTCCACCTCTTAACAAACTAAATAAAAAAAAAAAAATGAAAAATTATTTCCATGAAAACATTTTACACCAAACCAAATGGGGTCATCAAACTGTCAAACTTCCAATTGGCAAGAAATAGATGTTAACACAGTTCATTAAAGTTATTGAAATGGCATATTTTAAATGTATTAACAATATATGAAATTATGAACTACTAGTACTCTCTCAGCTTTATTTAATTTACCCATTCACTTTGCACCATTCACATACTCTACTAGTCTACTTTGATAAATATTGGTAAATTATACGTAATAAAAAAAATAGTCATGATCAATTCGTCTTAATATATAATCTTTTTAAAATTATACATAATAAAAAACAATAGTCATGATCATTTTTGTCATATTCCTACAAAACTAAGTCTGAGGTTCAGAAAGAGCCAAATGACCCAAATACATTACAGTTTATGACACATAATTTTTGTAAAAACAGGATAACACAAAAGTCCAGTGGGAATAAAAGTCCAACGCCAATAATTTAGTTTTTTCAAAGAAAGCAAAAATTTAGTAGGGTTGGCACTGACATTTTAAAATTGACCATATAATATGAAGAATCCCATAACAGAAATATCTTGCTGAAGTCTTAAAAAAAAAAAACTTGAGAAACACAAATCTCAGTCATTACCACAAAAAAGCTGTAAAACAGAATGGAATTTAAGTTTGGACTACCAATTCAGGTCTCTGCTGAAGCTACAAGCCTGCTTGCCTTATTACTAATTCTCTACTGCCTGTTTCAACCAAAAAAGAGAACTGACACCAATGTGAAACCTCCCCAGCCAACTACATCTTCTAGGAGAGCTTCCTCACATAACCTTGGGGAAACTAGCAGATAAATATGGTCAAGTCTTTATGATTAAACCGAGCTTTGGTTGTAAGCACAGCAGAGATGGCGGAAGAGTGCTTAGGCAGCTCCAATGACAAGGTATTCTTAAACCGTCCACAAAAAATCATTGTAGAACATATGGGTTACAATGGTGTCATGTTTGGCTTCAGCGAATATGGCCAATACTGGCGTGAGATGTGTAAGATTACCACTGTCGAGCTACTGTCCACCCATCGGGTAGAGATGTTAAAAATTATCAGGATATCAGCTGTAAGATCAGCGATGAAGAGTACATCAGTTGCCAGGTCTGAATTAACAGACATGAAAAAATGGTTTAGTGATATAAGCATGAACACTATTGTAAGGTTAGTTTCAGGCAAGTCACTGAAGGAATTAAACCAAGGGGAGGAATATAATAGGTGTATAAAGGCATTCAGAATTTTCTTCGAGTTGGCAGGTGTATTCGTCCCTGCTGATGCACTGCCTTTCCTGAGGTGGTTTGATATCGGAGGGTACGAGAAAAAAATGAAGAAAGCAGGAAAAGAGATTGATCATATTGTTCAAAGGTGGTTGGATGAACATAAAAATAGAAGCTCTAAAGAGGCACAAGGAAAGCTGGACTTCATGGATGTGATGCTTGGTATTTTCAAGTCTGGACAGGAAAAGCCTTCCAAATATGAAACAGATACAATAATCAAAGCCACTTGCACGGTAAGAACTTTTATATATGCAAAATTGATTTCTATATTATGGAATATCAGTGTTAGAAAAATTTTTGAACAGCTTAATGTTATGACAAGAACTTGAAAAAATTATATAGCAACCATGTTTTCATGATAGCTTTGTTCTAATCTGAGCTTATTTCAGTTACGTTGTGAACTAAGCTATAACAGCCCTTATGGTGTGTTTGGATAAAGAAATGGGAAAGAAAAGAAGGGGAGGGAGGTGAAGGGGAGCGAAGAGAAAGGAGGGGGAGGGAAGAAAGATAAGTTTTCCCTCCAAATCTCTCCATTGTTGTAGAGATCAATTTCTTAAAATTTAATCCCTCCATTTTATCCTTTCTAATTCCCTTCTTTTCTCATTTGATATCCAAATGAAAGAAATTACATCCCTCATTTTCCCTTCCTTTCCTTTCTTCCATTTCATTCAATCTAAAGAAAGTATTAATTCTGAACGTATTTTGAGATGTTTACAATGTGAAGAAGAGCAAGTCTTATACAGTTGTTTGAGGTGGTTACAGGTCAGCGAGTTTTCTAGAATTCTAGTGATAAAAATGAACTATTATGCAAACCTAAGTTTTACCATTATCTTACTCTCTCCAATCTTGAAACATAGTGATATTAGAGCTAATCCATAGATTACTAACCAAGAAATACATAATACTGCTTAATGTCAGGCATAATAATCACTAGTGAGATACATTTTTTTCAAACATTTAACTTTGTACTTGGAACTTGGAAGGAAATGATCTTAGGAGCAACAGACACCACAGCAGTAACCATGACATGGGCATTATCATTGCTACTCAACAATAAAGATACCCTGAAGAAAACTCAAGTTGAAGTAGACACGATAGTGGGAAAAGAAAGGCAGGTGGAAGAATCAGACCTCAAGAATTTAGTCTACTTGCAAGTAGTTCTCAAGGAGACTATGAGACTATACCCTGCTTCACCCCTTTCAGTCCCTCGAGAAGCTATTTCAGATTGTACTGTGAGTGGTTACAAAATTCCAGCTGGGACACAACTCTTTGTCAATCTTTACAAGATACCCAGAGATCCACAAGTGTGGGAAGACCCATTGGAATTTCGTCCTGAAAGGTTTCTCACAACACACAAAGACTGATGTTCGAGGCCAAAGTTTTGGATTTATGCCTTTTGGAAGTGGAAGGAGGATATGTCCTGCTATATCTTTTGCCCTTCCGGTCCTGCAGTTTACACTAGCTAATTTACTCCATGGATTTGACATCTCAACTCCATTGGGTGAAATTGTCGACATGACTGAAGGTTTTGGACTAACCAACCTCAAAACTACACCACTTGAGGTCATCCTCACCCATCGCCTTCCTTCCAACCTTTACTAAGGTTGTTAATTAATCTTCATTATCATACCACTTGTATGTCCTGCACTATTATGTAATAATATGGACAGGATTTTACTACAACTTTATGTTTTACATAAACTGCATTTTGGTCTGTTGAAGATGGCATACCTTCTTATAAAATCTGTTTTCAGACGCCCTTAATGAATCAACCAACATCCCCTAACAGCAGTGAATGAAGGATATGATGAAACTGATCTAATACTGACATATTTCAGTGCTTATTTATTATATGGTTTCTGTCAGCAAAATTATTTCTAAGTATCAACAGATAGCATCCAAATGATAAATTAATAATAATATAGTCCACTTACAATATTCTAGTCACTTTGAGTTCAGATTTTTCCCATGACTCAGGAGGTTGCATTCCCCATCTAGCCAATTTGTTGAAAGCAAGAAACTTCTCATGGAAAGCCATTCACAACATGTACATGATCCTGTGCATTGTAACAAATTTAGTTAAATGCTTGCACAAGTAACTCATATATTAAGAAAGGAGGACTAATTAGTATAGAGTTATAGATTAGGGAGGTGCTTTGTATAAACATTAGAAACGAAATAAAAAGAAAACAAACAAGAGGGAGAAATTATCAAATCCTTACCTCTTCAGTTGTTTGGTTTAACGAATCAATTTAAACTTGTGTGTTTGAGAAGGGTAATGATTATTGATAAATTGATACCAAAGGTTATAGAGCAGTCTCAATTAGGAGGAAGAAGATAATTAATACCAAGACCATTCTAACCAAACAATTAAAAACAATAATGGTTTATTGACTCCGTTAAAGTACCCTTACTATTCCCCAAAAAAAAAAAAAAAAAAAAAAAAAAAAGAAGGTATCCTTACCAAACATGCTCTTAAACTAGCATAGTTGTCTTATTGGTGCCAATTTCACTCAGTGTCAAGGAAAGTGGTACAAGTAATAGGAGACGAAACATAATCAAACTCTACAAAGAATCAAAACCTTTCCTATTGTACGACCCTTGATTTCAATGAAGAAAAAAAAGTGTTAAAACATGTTAGACCTCAGCAAATCAGCAATAAGATTTAAGCTAAGGAAAAGTAAAAACCCATGAAATCAAATAAAACCTCAACGACTTTTAGGAATAAAGGCAATGTAAAATAATTTGTACTTCGTTTATAGATTTGTACCAAAAAAGAAAAACAATATCCAATCCGGCAATCCCATAATAATGCTAGTTCACCAAAATCATTATATTTCATAAATTTTCATTACCATTTGAGATGATACGACCAGACGTTGGATGATAATGATCGGAAAAAAAAAAATAAACACAAAATTGGGATGAGATTGCAGTATACTTCGCAGTAAACATTGATATCTTACTTTAGTAGTTTAGTTGTCAAATTATATTGAATTCATTCCTAATATCACTATTTATAAACGAATTCAATAAACAAGTGAATTGAATTAGTTTTGAGCAATGAGCATTCACTACCTTCTCCAGACGATCCGGCAATGGAGATCCTATCAGATCAAATTTTCCTCCATGATTTTATGTTTTGCCGATTCTTGTAGGAGCTTTGATCTTAGCAGTGGCAGGAAGCTTTGTTTGTTTGTAATTGTTTAGAACAAAGGAAAAAATACAGTACAAGTTTATTAGCCTTTGTTTATCAGGGGACAAAACCGACCATCATCTAAAGATTAGTGAGTATATATGGTCTCTTTGGATCTTAGCCTGCAAGGATATAGTTTGGTGAAAGTAGATTGCTTACGGTACGAGTTGAGTTTGAGTTTGGGGTAGCTTGACTAGACTCGTTATTATATGCTTAGTGAAGTAGATTTTTATTAAGCTTTAACCGAGTTGATGTTTGACCAAATTTTAAACTTGACCAAGTTGGTGTTTGACCAAATTTCAAATTTGATCGAGTTAAGTCAAGCTTTGACCGAGTTGATTTTGAATAGCTTGCAACTTGACATGTCTTTGTAAAACTCCCTATTTATTGTAACATCTCGTCCTTCTCATTTTGTCTTTTGTGAAATATACATTTCATATGAGTACATATATGAAAATTTCATCATAAACCCAGGTGTACCATGCGCATAGTACACCCGGTCAAAATACAAGGGTTATAAAAAATGCGGAAAGAACCTTGTGTACAAAATATAAAAAACACGAGCAAAAAAATTCCAAAACGATTCCCTCCTTGGCTTAAGGGATTGATTTGTTATTTATACTCTTTGATTTATGGAATTGATTTATTATTTGCATTCCATATTACATTTGGTAAATGAATTTTTTATTTTTATTTTTTTTTTGTTAAATAAAAGAGAGAAATTAAGTTGATATAGAGAGGGAAACCATGGTAAATTTTGAATTTCGAAATGATTCAATGTTATTAAGGGGTTGATTTTACCGTTCCGACGAATCTTTTAATCAAAACATGTAACTGACTAATTCGTTGTTGGGAGAAAAGGTATTTTTCAATTTTTTAATTTTTTTTTCTTTATTTTTTCCTATTATTTTCTAAGGTTGAAGATGATGTTCTTCATATTATGATGAATGTTCATTTATCATTTCTTGGATCAATATTTATTTTTGAATTGGAATGGAATATGTTCTTTGACTCTGATTAATATGTTCTTTGAGTCTGAACAATATGTTCTTTATATTAGGAACATTTATCTTCAAGGTATTTACAATAGATTAAACATGTTGTTTACATATGAATAATACAAATTATGTTCTTTATGTTACAAACAATGTTTCTTTATCATTAAGATGAATATTATAACTAAATATAAAAATAAAAAATATGGTGAAAAAATATGATCAATTTTTTTGAGAATTTTTTAAAAGAAAATGATTGAAATAAAATAATTTGGAAACTAATAATTTGAAAATGAAATTTAAAATTTTGAATTTTTTGAAATTTGAAAAGGAAACCTTGAATTATTTCTAGTTAAAAATAATTTTTAATAACGAAATTCTAAAATCTAAATATTTTGGAATGATCTATCTATTACATATTACTAAAGGCGAAACCTAGAGGGACACTTGGAAGTGTTACATTAGAAATTTTCCCTCCAAAAGTATTATCCAAAAAAAAAAAAAAAAAAAAAATTCTTACTCTAACAAAGAATTGTATCTAGATTATTATATTCGCTTTGCATAAAATATAAACTAAACTTTCTAAAAATATTAAATAATTTATTATAACTATTAATTGTTTTTATTTTTTATTTTTTTTTTCTCCAAATATGTTTCATACTCTTAAACAATTGGTGTGTGGTGTAATTATTTTTTACACTGTTTTTATAATTTTGTTGTCATTAAAAGTATTTAACAACCATGCATCTATTGCACGGGGTTTAACCTATTTTGACACTAAATGCGTGGTAAAAATCAATTATTAATTATCTTTTATCTTTTTTACAAACTGTTTCTTAGAAATAAAATGTGTCTTGTAAATTTTAATGTTGTGTTCTTTTATAAATTCGTAATGTTCTTTATAATTATAAGCCATGTTCTTTCTTCATAATGCGGGTGTACCACGTGCATGGTACACCCGGGTGCACAAACCACCTTTCATCATACACCCAGGTGTACCATGCGCATGGTACACCCGGTTAAAATCCCATTGATACAAATAATGTACATTAATTAATTACTCCCCCTTCATAATAATCGCAACACGAATGGCACACATGCCAATGCACAGTTTTGACCATAAATATTTTTAATTATATATTATCAAGAAGTGTAAAAGGTTAATATAATGAAAATATACCAAAAATCTATGGTCAAAGCAAGTTTATGAATAGTGCAAAATTTAAACTATTGCGATTATTACGAACAGAGGGGTAGTATTGTATACAAAAGTTTATAAATAAAAATATTTTAATTTCTATAAAATAAAATAATAAAGTAATTCAATTTCGTGACGAGCTTTCAAGTCAAGTAATGAGCTACTCTACTCCTCTCGACTCATCAACATTTCAAGACAATCTTGAGCTTAAGTTGAGCTCACATAGGTCGAGTTTTTGACCGGGTCGAGCTCGAGTAGCTCGCGAGTTGTCTTGTTTCGTAAGCACCCCTAGGTACAAGACAAAAATCCGACCCAAAATATGTCTACAGGTTGAGGTATCAAATCCCATATAGGAAAACTTAGTTCTCCTCAACCCCCATATGAGGCGCCAGCAGATAGCGGCCACATATAAAAGTTAGTGTTTGACATATTGTTTAGCATGGAGAATTGTAATGTATTAATTTCCATTATCTTTTGTTTGAAATCTTTGCAATCTTTTTTAAAGTATACTCATATTTTGTTAATCTTAGCCTTTTTGATGGCTTCCAAAACTTATTACAAAAATAAAAATCATTATGCGCCACTAGGCTCACCATACCCTACAATTCTTATGCCATGCATACCTGGCCCAACCAAAAACTTGTTATCCGGTTTGAAATTTACTTTGAATGAGTGAAATAGTCTAATATGGCTCTAATCCTTAATGACCAAATCCGACCAATTAGACCAATCTAAACCCGAACAGTGACCCAATAAGTAACATAGCTATTTTTGCTTGAAAGTGTCATTCCATGTCTCACATTTCTTCCTGATCTAATCTGATATTTCAGGAAGAGGCAATGCATTACAGACTAATTATAGTATTTATTAAATTAATGTTCCAAATGATGTATAACAAGTTGTAATCTACAACTAATCGTTTATCACGTTGAAACAAAAGTCAATACAAATGCCAATAATCTTAATTTGCTATTTAAAAGAGACAAAAGTACACGCATCAATGCATTATCATGTTTAAAGATATTTTTTTAGCAACTAAACATCAATGGCTAATAACATATATAATAACTAAATATCATATCATACAAACAATCCCATCATACATTCAAATATAGAACAATCTTATTGATCAGTTGTCTGAAAGAAAAAAAAAAAAAAAAACGAGTATATATTCTTGAGACACAATTCTCCGTTTAACACCAAAAAAACTCAAAATGCAAATGGAATTTAAGTTTGGACTACCCATTCATCAGTTCTCTGCTGAAGCTGCAAGCTTGCTTGGTTTAATACTATTTATCTACTGCCTATTTCGATTAAAACAGAAGGCGGATACTAATGGAAAAGTAGTCCCTCAACCATCTAGTTCATGGCCTTTAATAGGCCATCTGCATCTTCTGGAAGGACTTCCTCACATAGCCTTGGGGAAATTAGCAGATAAATATGGTCCAATTTTTATGATTAGGCTTGGTGTACAACGAGCATTGGTTGTAAGCACTGCAGAGATGGCGAAAGAGTGCTTAGGCGGCACCAATGACAAAGTTTTCTTAAATCGTCCCCAAACAATCTTTGTAGAGCATATGGCTTACAATGGTGCTATGTTAGGCTTCAGCCAATATGGTCAATACTGGCGTGAGATTCGTAAGTTTACCACTATCGAGCTAATGTCAAACCATCGAGTAGAGATGTTAAAAAATGTCAGGGTCTCTGAGATAAGATCGGCCATGAAGAGTATATCTACTGCTAGGTCTGAAACAACTGACATGAAACAATGGTTTACTGATGTAAGTATGAACACTATAGTAAGAATAATTTCAGGCAAGTCAATGAAGGAATGTTACCAAGGGGAGGAATATAGTTGGTGTGTAAAAGCATTCAGGGATTTCTTCGAATTGGCAGGTGTATTCGTCCCTGCTGATGCACTACCCTTCCTGAGGTGGTTTGATATCAGAGGATACGAGAAGAAAATGAAGAAAGTGGCAAAAGAGATTGATCTTATAGTTGAAAGGTGGTTGGATGAGCGTAAAAACAGAAGAAGCTCCAAAGAGGCACAAGGAAAGCTAGATTTCATGGATGTGATGCTTGGTATTTTCGAGACAGGACAGGAAACGGATTCCAAATTCGAAACTGATACAATCATTAAAGCCACTTGCACGGTAAGAGCTTTTAACTCATTTTTCAAATTTGGTTTCAACATTAAGTATATATGATAGAATCTTAGTTAAGTTTAGTCTAACTTAATGTTCTGACAATGACAAAAAAGATTACATCACAAACATGTTTTCATTATGGCTTAGTTCATATTTGAGGTTTAAGTTGTGAATTGAACTTATGTGACCTGCAATTTGTAGTAATTTTTAGACTTTCATAACGAGGTAAGGAACAAGTTCTTCAGAGTGTCTACAGTTTAGAGATTACAACTCTGCTGATTGGTATAATCGGGAAAATTTAACTAATAAACACAACTCAAGTTTTACAACAGTATTATCTAATTGTTAATAAGTTTGCAACCTTGAAACAATTTAACATTTGTGTTAATTGACTGATTCATACTTTGCATTTTATCAACAAGCTAGGAAAGAGCTTATTGCTTCCTAATGTCAGATATATTAATCAATAGTAAAATAATTATGATATATTCTTGTACTTGGAAGGCAATGATTTTAGCAGCAGCAGATACCACAGCAGTAACCTTAACATGGGCACTGTCATTGCTACTCAACAATAAAGAAGTTCTGAAGAAGAGTCAAGCTGAACTCGACATCGTGGTGGGCAAAGAAAGGCAGGTGGAAGAATCAGACCTCAAGAATTTAGTCTACTTGCAAGCAGTTCTCAAGGAGACTATGAGACTATACCCTGCTGCACCCCTTTCAGTCCCTCGAGAAGCTATTTCAGATTGTATTGTGAGTGGTTACAATATTCCAGCTGGGACACAACTCTTTGTCAATCTTTACAAGATACACAGAGATCCACTAGTTTGGGAAAACCATTTAGATTTTCACCCTGAAAGGTTTCTCACAACTAATAAAGACTATGATGTGCGAGGCCAGAGTTTTGAGTTTATGCCTTTTGGAAGTGGAAGGAGGATATGTCCTGGTATATCTTTTGCCCTTTCGGTCATGCAGTTTACACTAGCTAATTTACTCCATGGATTTGACATCTCAATTCCATCGGATGAACCTGTTGATATGACTGAGGGTTTCGGAATAACCAACCTCAAAGTTACACCACTTGATGTCATCTTTAGGCATCGCCAATATGAACACCTTTATAATTAATCTTTATTTGTGTAAAGTTGTAAACTATGTATGTCCTATCTTTAGTGTGTACTAAATTGCTTATATTCGTATACTCACAATATTTTTTTATGTTTGATCTTTTAAGATTGTTATCCTTGAATAAACTAGTTTGAAATCTTTTTTTTTTTTTTTTTTTTTTTTTTTTTTTCTCTATTGTTTAAGAATAGAACATAAAATTTTTGATAGCATTCAAAATTATCGTCCCTATACATCAATCCTATGTAAAATAGAAAAAGGTTACATTTGGTCCATATATTTTAATGGGTATAGTTACTAAATAGATGGCATGGAAGACAAAGGCTTTGTTTGGTAAAGAGCTTTTAGCTTATTTTGCCCAATTAGAGATTTGACTAATTTAAAAAGCTAATTTGGGTGTTTGGTAAATAGCTTATTAAAAGAGCTTTTTGGGCTCAAGCTCTTTTAGAAAAACCTCATCATAAGAGCTTTTTAAAATTAGCTTATTGAACAATTAGCTTTTTTGCTCTTAAATACACTAATACAACTAACAGTTAACAGCTATTTACCAAACACTTTTACACAACCAGCTAGTCAAACCAGCTAGTCAAAACAGCTAATACAATCAGCTACCGGCTAATTACCAAACAAGGCCAAAATGTCGGCCAGTGAACCATTTAATGACTTCCTCTGTTCACTTTTACTTGCAAAAGTTTGACTAAAACTGTGAAAGCTTTTTGGTCAAAGTATTGCAATCAACTAAAACCGAACGGAGGAAATATAAAGTTTACCTAATACAAAGTGGCTTATGAAAGATGCTAAGTGAGTAGAAATTCATTGAAACAAAACAAGATACAAGACAAAACGAAAAGTGATTAGAGTTTTCAAAGATCTAAGTATCAAACCTAAATATACGCAAATATAACCTTTAATGAAGTAAATTTCAAACTAAGGCATGCTCACTTGGGAACATTAACCATGACAGCAGTACAAGCAAAAGTTAATCTCAAAATCTTATCAAATTATGTCATGTTTTCCAGAAAAAACTACAGTAAATCACCAACATTTAACCCCACTAAAAATCAAATCAACTAAAGAAAACAAATCATAGATATGCTATGAATAATCTTCAAAATACATCAGCGACCATGTATGATTTTTCTTACTCTGGTTGGAATTGCACATTTTTGTTTAAGACTGAAAACAGTAAAAACTATTTACTCTGGTTGCTTGCCATTTTATCTTCATCTGTGTACCACCAATAATCCTGAAAAAAAGTGATTTATAATTAAGATAAATCATACATGTGGAATTATATTAATTATGTCATGTTAAAGTATACTCTGATATGCTCTATATAACTTAATATTTTTATTAATTTTTACAATTGAACTACTCATGTATTAACAAACATGAAAAATATATAAGTATTGAAACTATTAAGAAGCATAAGTAGTATTAATCATTTTAGGTTAGTTCGGTATGTTTTATAACATTCACTCCATCCCATATACAGTAGTATTATATAGTGCTCAATACCAATTTTTATGATAAAATTCTAAAAAGTATCAGAAAATTTTTATGGGAAATTCTATCCCTCAAGTTTCAAAAATTATATGTGATGGCATGACAAAATTTTAATACTACAAAGTGACACCCTACTTTTTAATAATACACATGGTGACCTTACAAGCAAATTTCATGGCTAATCTATCATTAAACACCTAATTACTAACCTTAATATGTGATTTTACTAACCAACCCCTCTAATTAATATAGAATTTCCCAATTTTTATTAATTGGTAGTATATATACACAAAAGAACATAATCATGTTGGGTTATTCTCCTCAAATCACAGTTAAGTTAATTAATATTATTATTATTGCAGTAATAATATTAACTTTGTAAGAAAAAGAAGAATGAATGCATGCATTTGGACCGGTTGGGTAGATATTTGTGGACTAAAATCCAATGTGGTTGAAGCCATTAAATGTTGAGGATGACTTTGTCTAGTTTGGGGGAACAAGCAATTCCAAGTGTTGACTTGGTTGCTTGTGTACGTGACAAGTTTGGTGAGGTGTGTTGAAGAAGCATGCATTAATTAAGGTTGGTTGAGCTCTATAAAATGATAAAGCTCAACCTGAAAGAATGTGTGTGTGGAAAAGCCACACCACCGTGGCACCGTAGATGAGTGGGTGCTAGCAAAATGTAGACACATAAGTAATTCTTGTTTGGATTTATGTATTTGGATTCTTAGCCCTTTTTCGATCAATTCTTGTTTGATTTTGTTAGATCTGTTTTCATTATCGTTGATTGTCAATTGTAGATGATGTATGACTTTAAGTAATAATATATAGTGTCCTTTAGGACTTCTTTCTTTCTTTCAAAAAAAAAAAAAAAAAAAAAAAGAAATTAGAGGTTAATTAAGTGACTTAGTGGTGCTAGGTTTCTTTGAACAAAAATTTTTTAACTTCCTTTTTCTTTTTTTTTTCTTTTTTTTTTTTGACAAATTTTCCTAATTTTTTTTTTGGATTTTAGCACTTTTATTCTCTACTAGATTAGATTTGTGCATTGCATGATTTGAATAATTTTATTATTATGCATTAAATAAAAAATTAGTCATTTGTGAAAAAAAAAAGTGGCAATTGTTTTTTGCGTGAAAAATGTATAGTGTAGATAAAAAAAAAACAAATTAATAATTGATGACACCACACATAGAATTGGAGGGAAAATTTTTAATGTGAAGTTACACATAGGATAGATTAGAGGTTTATGATGTCAGCAATGTTTTGTTTTAGTAATAGTTAATAGATTTACATTTGTTAGCATGTAATTATGCAGATATATTTTTGAGGTACATACCTATTTTTGAGAATGGCAAATGATATATCTAGCATTAGTGGCATAGTGTTGGAGGTGGTTGTGTTGGAATTAATCATATATCTACATTAGCAACGAAGATATAATTTCATGCATTACTTAATGTTATTTTGGCTCTTCATCAAATTTGAAAACTTCCGTGGGAAATGCAAGCCAAAAGTTTCATATTTAGTCATGAAGTTTTAGTTTCCTAGCAGTTCTTATTATCTTTATCTATCTATTATAATGACACAAAATGAGAAACTTCTTTAAACCTATATACATGCAATTTTCTATCCCCACACGTCTTCTTATTAGTGATCTTGGTAACATTCTCATAAACAATCATATTGCAACAATTTGATTTCTTAATCTGTCATTAATTAAAGTAATGTGTAGTTGCGTTCACGAAAGTAATACATAATTTGATAGTTTATACTTTATAGTAATATTCTCAATATAATGTGTTTGTCTCATACCTCAAAAATGTGATGGTGACCATCATAGGACACCGGGATACCAATGACCAACTATCGCTTCAGTCTTTTTATAAGAAATGTTATCACTGCAATTTGTAAGATCATTTGATTTCAGTAGCTCTGAAATCTGAAATCTAACATCAGTGCACAAAAGAAAGTCAGCTCAAAATGGAATTAAACAGCCCCATCAGTTTATCAGCTGTTTCGATAGGTACAAGCGTGCTTCCGTTTATACTAGTTCTTTGTTGTCTAGTAACACAGAAAAGGAAGACTGATAATGCCAAGCGAAAACCACCACAACCATCAGGTTCATGGCCTATTATTGGCCATCTACCTCTTCTAAGAAGAGGGCTTCCTCACATAATTATGGGGAATTTAGCAGACAAGTATGGTCCGATTTTCATGATGAAGCTTGGTGTCCACCAAGCCTTAGTTGTAAACTCATCAGAGACGGCTAAAGAGTGTCTACACACCAATGACAGAGTATTTGCTAGTCGGCCCTGCTCAACAGCTGCAGAGCATTTGGGTTACAATTCTCTCCTGCTGGGATATAGCCCTTATGGCCCCTACTGGCGTGAGATGCGTAAGATAGTCATGTCTAAGCTCCTGTCCAATAACCGGCTAGAGATGTTAGAACGTGAACGAACATCTGAGGTAAGATCGGTCATAAAAGCCATTTATGAAAGTTATTTAATCAAACGAAAATTAAGTCCTGGTAATGATAGTAGTTTCATAGTGGATATGAAGCAATGTTTTAATGACATAAGCAGTAATACTTCAGTAAAATTAATTGCTGGAAAGTCACTGAATGAGTTTTATCCTGGTGAGGAAGAACATTATAAGTGCACAAAGGCGTTGAGAGATTTTTTCGACTTGGGAGGTGTCTTTGTTCCCTCTGATGCTCTTCCCTTTTTGGGGTGGTTGGATAATGGAGGGTATCAAAAGGCTATGAAGAAAGTCGCAAAGGAAATCAATCATGTAGCTCAAGGTTGGTTGGATGAGCATAAAGCAAGACGACTCTCAGAAAATCAGGGGAAAGAAAAACAGGACTTCATCGATGTAATGCTTGGTATCATGGAAACTAGAAAGAATGATCCTGCATTACTTGAAGCAGATAAAATCATCAAGGCCATTAGCATGGTAAGTAATTCTAATACACATTAAAAACTTTTTTTTTTTTTTATAGTACATGATACTTCTTTTTTTTTATTTATTTTTTTGGGAATTTAATCAGATACAGCATAGTCCTAACCATCATTATAGGTAAATAATTGCAATGGAGTTAAAGATAAGTTTGCGACGTAACAATGACTAGTGTTAAACAATATAACTATATAAGTGATAACAGAATGTACAGAATGCATCCCTTATGTGCTTTATAACACTAATTTCATCAAATTATTACTTCTTAAGACACTTGATGCGAAAATTTCAAATAACTTGGTTGCATTGATCAACTCTAAATAGGCAATGATACTAGGAGCAACAGACACAACATCAGCAACCTTAACATGGGCATTGTCATTACTATTGAATAACAGAGAATCACTGAAAAAGGCTCAAACTGAGATAGACAACCAAGTGGGAAAAGGCAGGCTAGTCGAAGAATCGGACCTCAAGAAACTAATCTACTTGCAAGCTGTCATAAAAGAGACTATGAGGCTATATCCAGCCGTGCCACTAACACAACGCGAAGCCATTACAGACTGTACTGTGAGTGGTTACCAGATCCTTGCAGGCACTCAACTCTTTATCAATATTTCGAAGATTCAAAGAGACCCGAAACTGTGGACTGATCCATTAGAGTTTCGGCCTGAAAGGTTTCTTACTACACACACAGAATGTGATGTCAGAGGACAAAACTTTGAACTTATTCCTTTTGGAAGCGGCAGAAGAAGTTGTCCTGGAATAACTTATGCTCTTCTGTCCATGCAATTTACATTAGCTAATTTACTCCATTCTTTCGATGTCTCGACTCTAGCTGATGAAGCTGTCGACATGACTGAGGGTTTTGGAATTACCAACTTGAAAGTCACACCACTTGAAGTCCTTCTCAACCCGCGTCTCCCAGACCATGCTTTTAAACTATATTAATCCTAGAATGGTTGTTGATTATTCATCGCCACCAATAGAATTTATATGTACTTGTCAAACTAGTAATTATAAGATTCTGTCATCATGTATTGCACGGGTCTTAAATTGAAATTATGATTAGTATGGGGATGACTTAAGTGATATCGATTAGGTGGGATGAATTTGTACTCTATACACTTATTTTCAACAATGCAGGTCAAGTAAAATGGTTATCGGATTTTTGCCTTTGGAGTAATGAGCCAAGAAAAGACTTTGAAAGATTTGACAAGGCGAGAAAAATGTTTTTATTTGTGATAATGATTATTGACATGTACAGATTCAGATATCTTTAGTATTACTCAAAAATTATACCACATAGTACGTAAACCGTCGTAATTTGGCCAGTTTTTAGTAGTATACAATGTTCAAAATGTACACCAATTTTCAAAAGTAACATGCATAATTTACAAAATTTTAAATGAATCAATTCTTATTCTCCACTTCAGTCAAGTGATATGATAAAAGTCGTGAAAATAATCATTTTTAGCTCTAAATTCGCAACCCCTTGGCAAATCGATCATGTCGTGTTCCATCAGATACTGAATAATATAACAAGGAATGGTATTTAGTCATCAGATACTGAATAATATTCGCAACCAAAATCTCATTTAAGACCACCAAACAATTTTATGGAGTTTCACAACCACATAAAGCTCCCGGCTGAAGCCGTGAGCTTGCTAGCCATCATACTATTCCTTTACTGCCTATTAAGATGGAAAAGTAACACTAATAAGGCCAGAAAAATGCCACCCGAACCATCTAGTTCCTGTCCTTCTATTGGCTATTAGGAAATAAACTAAACTTACAAAACCCCAACGATTTTGGGAAAAGATATGATGTATCTTTTATTTATTTCTATCTTTTATGCTTTCCTAGTTCGATGAGGTTTGTCATTAGGAAACTCAATAAATTATAGGAATATAATCAATCTAGGATTATTTAGGCTTGGGGGAGCAAGTAAAATATCCTAATTGATGTGGGATTCTAGGTTAGCCTATGTAAAGGGAATAGGCTTACTAGAAAATTTAGATGGTTCATCAATGATGATTTATCTAAGAAGAAAATCATCAAGAGGAAGAGGGTTATTATCTTATTTTATAGGAACTTAATAAAACAATATTTTTGTTGAGGGGAGGAAATTTAAATTTCCTCATAAACATCGTCTCTTTTATTTCTATATTGTGTTTGAGGGTGAGTTTCCAAGTCGTTCCATTGCACACTTCCGTTATAACGTTGGCCATCTACATCTTCTAGGAAGGCTTCCTCACATAAGCTTAGGTGAATTAGCAGATAGATATGGTCCAATTTTCATGATCAATCTTGGTGTAAACCGCACCTTGGTTGTTAGCTCAGGAGAGATGGCGAAAGAGTGCTTAGGCGATATCAATGGCAACGTATTTGCAAATCGGGCTATAAAATCCTTGGTCAAACTTGTGACTTACAATGCAGCCATGTTTGGCTTCAGTCAATATGGCCAATACTGGCGTGAGATGCGTAAGATTGCAATCGTTGAGATCTTGTCCAATCATCATATAGAGATGTTCAAAGATGTAAGGATCTCAGAAGTACGATCAGCCATAAAAGTCCTCCATGATACATGTAGGAAGACAGAGCTATCACATTCTGTTTCTGCATCAGTTGACATGTCAGAGTGGTTAAAAGACTTAAGCTTGAACATTATAGTAAAGCTGATTTCCGGAAACACTTTGAAGGAATTCTGCCAAGGTGAGGAGTATAACCGGTGTACAAAGGCAATCGAGGATTTCTTCCACTTGGCAGGTGCATTTGTTCTTGCTGATGCAGTTCCCTTCTTGAGGTGGTTTGATATTGGAGGATATGAAAAAGAGATGAAGAGGGTTGCAAAAGAGATGGATCGCGTACCTTAAAAATGGTTGGAAGAGCATAAATCAGCAAGAAGCTCTATTAAGGCACAAGAAAATCAGGATTTTATAGATGTGCTGCTGAGTATATTTGAAACAGAACAGATAAAGTCTTCTGAATTTGATACAGAAACCATCATTAAAGCCACATGTATGGTAAGTATATTTATATATGATTTCATATTTATCAGTAAACAAATCTTAATTAATTCTAGAAGAAAGAGATCAATGCTTATAAACATGTTATGATTTATTAGTTATTACAGATTAAAATAAATCAAAATAAGATTAATGTGAGAAATGATTTAATAAAATTTCTTCTCCTAGATGATGATATTAGCAGGAGCAGAAACCACATCAGTGACCTGAATATGGACACTGTCATTGCTACTCAACAATAAAGACGTCATGAACAAGAATCGAGCTGAAGTAGACACTGTGGTGGGCAAATAAAGACAGGTAAATGAATCACACCTCACAAAGTTAGTCTATTTGCAAGCAGTTCTTAAGGAGAGTATGCGACTTTACCCTGTTGGGCCACTTTCCGTCCCTCGAGAATCCATTACAGACTGCACCGTGAATGGTTAACACATCCCAGCAGGCACTCAGCTGTTTGTAAATCTATACAAAATACAGAGGGATCCGAAAGTGTGGGAGAAACCATTGGACTTCCAACCTGAAAGGTTTCTGACGACTCATAAAGAGTACGATGGCCAAAATTATGATTTTTTTGCCTTTTGGAGGTGGTAGAAGGATGTGTCCTGCTATATCCTTTGCTCTTCGAGTCATGCAGTTTATCATTGCTAATTTACTACAAGGATTCGAGATCTCTACACCATCAGATGAACCTGTCGACATGACTGAAGGTTTTGGACTAAGCAACCTCAAAGTTAAACCAGTTGAGGCCATCCTCACACACCGCCTTCCTCACAACCTTTATTAAAAATGTTTGAAACTTATTATGACTATCCGTTAATCTTAATTTGAGTACCACTATGTATGTTCAGCATATTCATATCAACTTTCACTTTGCTTCTTTATATTTATATCAAATTTTACTGCGCTTCTATGTATTTCTATATAAAAAAGAATACAAGTATGATGGTTAGAAAACATTGTGAGTTTTTAGTAGTTTAAGTACTAATGTACTATACTAGATATACTTCTTCCATTCAGAATACTTCATCCACATATTTTACAAATTTTAGTAGCCTAATTGTTCTATCAAAGAAATCTTTCAGTCCTGGCCTTTCGAATTTGTTGAAATGCACACTATTGACGTGAACTATTGCACATTGTATCACATTAGTTTGTATCCAGATAATGTTTAATAGAGTACAAATTATTATTCAATTTTGGACCACTTTGTGTAAAAAAATCTGTTGGGTATAACTTTTGTGGCCCAAATCTTTGAAAGGCCCAACTATTAACTCTCAAGATCTGGAAAAATCTACTAAATCAAGAAATGGATGGAGAATTGTGGAAGGCTCTAGAAATATTAAATGACCATGAAAAATCTAGACTTCCACAAAAAAAATCTACATATGTGGAAGGTTCCACACAAATCTTCCACCTCCATATTCCATCTATAAATATAAGTGTTGTCATCCAATAGAAGCATGCAATCAAAAAAAAATCCACACATACAAAAAGTCCCTAATCCTCCATCACACTAAAATTATTTCATCTCATAAGTATACTTAAAACTTCCTCCTTGTACTTTTATCCACTATTCTTTTAATACTCTTTTGTGAGTACTTATTATTGTGAGAGTTATTTTGTAATCTTACACCCTAACTTTTAGGGTCTTTTCTCTTTTGTACTCTCATATATTTTAATATAGTGGAATTATTTTAAAGTGCTCGTTGGGTGTTATTTTCTTGCCGTTTATACTTTATCAATTTCTCGATCAATCACGCTTTCGCAAGCATCCTTAACCTTACAAGTGGTATCTGAGCTAAAGGTTTATAATGTCGAGCGTCACAAAGTTCGACATCGAGAAATTCGATGGCAAGATAAGCTTTAGTATCTGGAAAATCCAGATGCAAGCCGTTCTTATTCAGAATGGATTAAAAAAAGGCTCTCGATAGAAAGCCTTCAACAATGTCTGACGAGCAATGGCAAGAGTTGGATGAAAAAGATATGTCGGCAATCCAACTATGCTTAACAAAAGAGGTGTTACGTGAGGTGGTACACAAGAAGACTACCGCTGCCCTATGGACGAAGCTCGAGTCTCTCTATATGACTAAAAGTCTTGCCAACAAACTTTGTCTCAAGGAAAGGCTTCATACAATTCGTATGGCCGAAGGTACGTCCATCCAATCTCACCTTAATGAATTTAATTCCATTATCATGGATCTGGAGAATTTGGATGTCAAAATTGATGATGAGGATAAAGCTGTATTATTAATTGTCTCCTTACCTCCCTCTTACAAATACTTCAAGGAAATTATGTTATATGGTTCCGGTGAAACTATTTCTTTTGAGGATGTAAAATCACACTTACTCTCAAAAGAAAAATTTGACCTTGAAGTTAACAATGAAGATAAAGCTGAAGGACTAAATGTAAGAGGGAAATCTTATGAAAGACACAATACACATAAAAAGAAATTTCGATCTAAATCCAGGGGACGTAAATCCAATGTTACCTGTCGCTATTGTAAGAAATCGGGGCACGACATTTCTGAATGCTTCAAATTGAAAAATAAAAAGGAGAAAGAAGCAAAATCTAATCAGCCTCAAAAATCCGCTGAAGCTAGTCTCATTGAAACTGACTCAGAAGGTGACTCGGTGTTACTTGCAACTTTTGAAAAAAGGGGCTTTGATGAATGGATTCTTGATTCTGGCTGCACCTATCATATGTGTCCGCATAGGGACTGGTTCACCACATATGAATCTGTTGATTGTGGTACTGTCTTAATGGGAAACAATCTTTCCTGTAAGGCTGTTGGAATAGGTTCAATCAAAATCAAGAGTCATGATGGCGTTGTCAGGACATTAACCAAGGTTCGTCATATTCCTGACTTAAAACGCAATCTGATCTCACTGGGTACTCTTGAGTCTCTCGGATATAGATTCTAAGCTGAAGGTGGAGTTTTGAAGGTCACTAAAGGTGCCCTTGTTGTCATGAAGGCCACGAGAAGTGGTAGTTTGTATATCTTACAAGGACATACAGTGACAGGTTCAACAGCTGTCTCATCATCATTTCCTGATTCTGATCTAACTCAGTTATGGCATAAACGCCTTGGTCATATGAGTGAAAAAGGAATGGACATCTTGAGCAAACGTGGACTTCTCGGCTCACCCGGCACGGATAATCTAGAATTATGTGAGCACTGTGTCTACGGGAAGCAAAAGAAAGTTGGTTTCTCTACTGCTACTCACAGAACTAAAGGTATTCTTGATTATGTCCACTCTGATTTATGGGGACCTTCTAGGGTTGCCTCTTGTTATGGAAAACGCTACTTTATGTCCATCATTGATGACTTCACTCGAAAAGTCTGGATTTACTTCTTAAGACATAAAAATGAAGCCTTTCCCACCTTCAAGAAGTGGAAAGCTCTTGCTGAAAACCAGACTGGGAGAAAAATCAAGAAGCTCAGGACTGATCGTGGCTTGGAGTATTATGATGGAGAATTTGAAGAATTCTGCGCTCAAGCCGGCATTGCTAGACATAAGACATTACCAGGCAAGCCTCAACAAAATGGCGTAGCTGAGCGTATAAACCGAACTCTTCTAGAAAGAGCTCGGTGCATGATCTCTAATGCTGGACTATGGAGTCGTCGTTACCTTTGGACGGAAGCCATATCTACGGCCGCATTTATAGTCAACCGTTCTCCACACTCTTCTATTGACTTAAAAATTCCACAGGAAATTTGGTCAGGTACAACCGTTGACTACTCTTTCCTAAAGGTTTTTGGTTGTATCGCTTATGCTCATGTTAATGATGGCAAATTAGCTCCTAGAGCTATCAAATGCATTTTCATTGGCTATTCTTCAGAATCTAAAGGCTATAGATTATGGTGTCTTGAGTCTAAGAAAGTAATTCTTACTCGAGATGTTACCTTAAATGAAAATGCTACTATCAAATCCTCTGGTACGGAGTCTTCTGACACAGATAATCAGGATGATAGTAAAAAGGTGGAGTTTGAAACGACTAACCAGTCTCCTACGGTTGAAATTGATGCTTCATCAGGCTCTCCTTCCAGCAATGATGATCAAAATCATGATGAAAATCCTCTAATTACTACTGAGTCAAGCCAACCACAAAGCCCTCATCAACAGTCAGATTATAATCTGATAAGGGATCGTTCAAAAAGGCCTATTATAAGGTCATCGAAATATTCTGGAGATGAATATCTGCTCTCTTACGCATTATCAGTTGGCGAAGAAACTCCAGTTGAAAAAGAGCCATCCTCTTATTCAGAAGCCATCTCTAGTCCCAATTCCTCTAATTGGCTTATGGCTATGAACGAGGAGATGGAGAGTCTTCACAAGAATGGCACATGGGACTTGGTTGAGCTGCCAAAAGGCCGAAAAGCAATCACTTGCAAATGGATCTACAAACAAAAGGAAGGCATTCCAGGAGTTGAACCTGCAAGATGGAAGGCACGCCTTGTTGTCAAAGGATGTCATCAAAAAGAAGGTATTGACTTTAATGAAATTTTCTCTCCTGTTGTTCCTCATACCTCTATTCGAGTCCTTCTTGCAATGGTTTCTATGTTTGACATGGAGTTAGAACAACTTGATGTCAAAACTACTTTTTTACATGGAGATCTTGATGAAGAAATATATATGAAGCAACCCGAAGGATTTATTGTTCCTGGAAAAGAAAACCATGTTTGTAGATTGAAGAAATCCTTATATAGTCTCAAGCAGGCTCCACGACAGTGGTATAAGCGCTTTGACTCATTCATGAGAAAACAAGGCTACACACGTAGTCAGTACGACCATTGTGTCTATTTTCGACATTATGGAGGAGTCTATATCTATTTGCTGCTATATGTGGATGATATGCTTATAGCATCTCGAGACAAGTCATTGATTGACAACCTGAAATCTCAGCTTAACAAGGAGTTCGAGATTAAAGATTTAGGTGCATCTAAGAAAATCCTTGGCATGGAGATTTACCGAGATCGACAGGCTGGTAAGTTATTCCTATCTCAGAAAAATTACATTAAGAAAATTCTGGATAGGTTTAATATGAGTAATTGTAAGCCTGTCTCTACCCCACTTGCTGCACATTTTAAGTTGTCATCTGCATCTTGTCCACAAACGGAGGAAGAAAAGGAGAAAATGGCTAGCATTCCTTATGCTAGTGCAATTGGTAGTCTTATGTATGCCATGGTCTGCACAAGACCTCATCTAGCATATGCTGTGAGCATGGTAAGCAGGTATATGCACAACCCTGGAAAGGAGCATTGGAATGCTGCAAAATGGATATTTCGATACCTAAAAGGTACTATAGATATGGGGTTGGTTTTTTATAAGAACCTAACCAATTCTACTGATGTTGTTGGGTTCGTTGACTCTGACTATGGTGGTGATCTTGATCGCCGAAGATCTCTCTCCGGTTATATCTTCACTCTTTGTTCAGGAGCAATAAGCTAGAAGGCTCAATTACAACCAATAGCTGCTCTTTCCACTACTGAGGCAGAATATGTCGCAGCAACCGAAGGTATAAAGGAGGCTACATGGTTGCGAGGTCTTGTTATGGATCTTGGTATATCACAAGGTGTCACCGTGGTATACTCCGATAGCCAAAGTGCTATCTTTCTCACCAAGAATGATGCTTATCACTTCAAGACCAAGCACATCGACGTAAAATACCACTATGTCAGAGATACCATTGAACAAGGTGAAATTGTGGTTAATAAGGTTCATACTTCAGAAAATCCTGCGGATATGCTCACAAAGCCACTTCCCATTGCTAAGTTTGATCATTGCTTGGACTTAGTCGGAGTCAATCTTTGCTAGATCTTTTGGCTTCTACTACATGTAATCTACAGATTTGGTCCAAGGTGGAGATTGTTGGGTATAACTTTTGTGGCCCAAATCATTGAAAGGCCCAACTAATTAACTCTCAAGATCTAGAAAAATCTACTAAATCAAGAAATGGATGGAGAATTGTGGAAGGCTCTAGAAATATTAAATGACCATGAAAAATCTAGACTTCCACCAAAAATATCTACATATGTGGAAGGTTCCACACAAATCTTCCACCTCCATATTCCATCTATAAATATAAGTGTTGTCATCCAATAGAAGCATGCAATCAAGAAAAAATCCACACATACAAAAAGTCCCTAATCCTCCATCACACTAAAATTATTCATCTCATAAGTTTACTTAAAACTTCCTCCTTGTAGTTTTATCCACTATTCTTTTAATACTCTTTTGTGAGTACTTATTATTGTGAGAGTTATTTTGTAATCTTACACCCTAACTTTTAGGGTATTTTCTCTTTTGTACTCTCATATATTTTAATATAGTGGAATTATTTTAAAGTGCTTGTTGGGTGTTATTTTCTTGCCGTTTATACTTTATCAATTTCTCGATCAATCACGCTTTCGCAAGCATCCTTAACCTTACAAAATCCAAGAGAAATTTAATCTTTTGCTAAAATGTTATAACTCCCTAGCCGTTCATGCATGTCATCTTCACCTATCTACATCAAATGACTCTGAAGACATTATTGTACATTTGTAAGTAGCCCCACACATACATCTTATGAGTGTACTAGAACATTTACAATATTCACTAGGCATATTGCAGTAATGTCAATTGATTAATACTTTTTCCAATACTGCTGCAATGTTACTAATTATAGTATACAAAGTTACGTTCACGAAAACACTACAATATCTAATGACTTTTGCTCACTAAATGTGTTAGTGCGCCTGAAATATGATAGTGAGTTAGTGACTGTACGTCATGGGTCATCAGGGTACCTACCAGGCTACCAGAAATGATACCGCGACAACCAATTCATAAGATATTTTTACCAGTAAAATCTGTGGCAAAATTTCAGCACCACAAATTTTCACAAACAAAATCTCATCAGATCTGGCCAGAAAAGTTAATCAGCTAGCTTTGAATGGAGTTACGCAGCCCCATCAAGCTCCTAGTGTCAACTGAAGCCGCAACAATGCTTGGCTTCTTTCTATTCCTTTACTGCCTAATAAGATGGAAAACTTACCGTGATACAGCCAAAATTTACCCACCCGAACCATCTGGTTCATGGCCTTTCATTGGCCATCTACCTCTTCTTGGAAGAAGCCTTCCTCACATTTCATTGGGAAAGTTAGCAGATAAATATGGTCCAATTTTCATGATCAGGCTCGGTGTCCATCGAACCCTGGTTGTGAGCACAGCAGAGATGGCTAAAGAGTGCCTAGGCACCAATGACAAAGTATTCTTAAACCGGCCTTACACAACTTTTATTGAGCATCTGGGTTACAATTCTCTTATGATGGGTTTCAGCCCTTATGGCCCTTACTGGCGTGAGATGCGTAAGATAGTCGTGACTGAGCTACTGTCCAGTCATCGGCTAGAGATGTCAAAACATGTTCGATTATCTGAGGTAAGATCGGTCATAAAAGGTACACATGATAGCTTCTTAGTCAAGAAAAATTCAAGTCCTGACTTTGATAATAATGTATTAGTGGACATGAAACAGTGGTTCAGTGACATAAACTTAAATACATCAGTAAGATTAATAGCTGGGAAGTCGTTAAAGGAATTCTATAAAGGCGAGGAAGAATATAACATGTGCATAAAAGCTTTGAGGGACTTTTTTGACCTGGGAGGTGCCTTTGTTCCTGCTGATGCTCTTCCATACTTGAGGTGGCTTGATATTGGAGGGTATGAAAAATCTATGAAGAAAGTAGCAAAGGAAATCGATCATGTAGCTCAAGGTTGGTTGGATGAGCATAGAACCAGACGACTTTTTGAAGATCAGGGGAAAGAAAAACAGGACTTTATTGATGTAATGCTTGGTATATTCGATACTGGATTGAATACCCCTTCGCGAATTGAAGCAGATAGAATCATCAAGGCCAATAGCATGGTAAGCACTTAGCCTAAACACTAACAGACTGTTAGATAGACATGATATATTCTTGCTTTGCAACAAATTCCAACCATGAACCATCATTATAAGTGAAAACAGATAGGCTAGTTGCATCCTGTCAAATGAATTTTTGTCATATTCTTATTACTGATTTCATCAATTTGTTACTTCTTACACCACTTTAGTGTCAATAATCATAAAATAACATGTTTGATCAATTTTTCATAGGCTTTGCTACTAGCAGGAGCAGACACAACCGCGGTAACCTTAACTTGGACACTATCATTGTTAATGAATAACAGAGAATCTCTGAAAAAAGCTCAAGCTGAGATAGACTATCATGTGGGCAAAGAAAGGAAAGTCGATGAGTCGGACCTCAAGAAATTTGTCTACTTACAAGCTGTTCTCAAGGAATCTATGAGGATATATCCAGCTGCACCACTATTAACTCGAGAGTCCATTGCGGACTGTACAGTGGGTGGTTATCAAATCCTTACTGGCACCCAACTCTATGTCAATATGTACAAGATACACAGGGACCCTGAATTGTGGCCTGACCCCTTGGATTTTCGCCCCGAAAGATTTCTCACAACTCACATAGATTATGATGTCAGAGGGCAAAATTTTGACCTTATTCCTTTTGGAAGTGGCAGAAGAATATGTCCTGGTATATCTTTTGCCTTGCAGATGACTCAGTTTACATTAGCTAATTTACTCCATGGTTTCGATATCTCATCTATATCTGATGAAGCTGTCGACATGACTGAGAGTTTAGGAATAACTAACCTCAAAGCCACACCGCTTGAAGTCTGCCTCAAACCCCGTCTTCCAGACCATGTTTATAAATTGTAATAATCCTAAGCTAGTTGGATTGTAACCTATAATATCACTAAGTCTTACTACTTAATAATGTTGTTTATCGCGTTAATTCCCTTAATTTTATCTTTAGCCAGGCCAAGTTCCCTGAGTTGTTGGTTCCATATGTGTCCAAGGTGTTCTTGAAATACAGTTCAGCATTTACTTTGAGCAATAGAGTCCATACCCCTAGTTATTTTAACAATATTTATGTCATTGTATTAGCCTTATTTCCTTTGGAAACTTCCTAGAATAATATATAGGTAATAGGCTAAATGCCATATCTCACAGAAGTCAACAGATTGAACTATAATGCAAACTGCAAGATTATGTGAAAATGTGAAAACTACCCCAGTAGAAAATCCCCTGTAATTGATTATTGCAAATATCATGCTTATACAGCTATATATACATATTCTGTATCATACAAAATCCATAGTGTATAAGCTTATTTGCAAGTTATTAATAAAAGAAATATCTTAAAATGCTTAAACTGAATAAATCCACTGAAAAAAGCCTATTTGCACAAGCAGCTCAACTAAGAGCAGTCTGCAGCTCACCAATTTCTAAAACAGGAGCTTCGACAGCTTTTTCTAACGCCATTGATCAATCTTTTAAGTGATCTTGAAACATTGCTACACACGGAGCGTGACAGAAGCCTAGTAACACCTTTGTCACTCAAAAAGCAATTGCTTGGAACTTAGGAACTAGAATAGTGCATGAGAGCATGTATCAATCTAAACTCCTTGGGTTGGACACTTAGCTTCCTTCATTCGGCCTCATATTGGGACTCCATAATAAATATGTTTATAATATAATGTTCAGATGTTCTTAAGACTAGATTTGCCTAGAAAAATCAAATATATGGATTTAATGGAAAAAAATAATCTCATTTCTTATTTCCCATTATTTATTGTTTTTAATGTGTGATTAATTTAGTTAAATGGTGTTTGCAAATAAAATCATTAATGTAATTATGTAAAAAAAACTTGATTTGTTAATATAAGATAAGAAGTTGTAGCACTATTATCTTCCAAATTTATCTTATCTATTTCCCAAATTTTTATTTAAGATCCAATTTGGCCGATTACACAAGGAAAAATAATTAAAATGGAGACTTAACATATTTGAATGCACACATTGGAGTAACTAATTCGAATTCATGACAAGATTTAAGGGTTTATCAATCAACATAAAGCCAATTAACATTATATAGTATAAAGGCTTCAATCACTTCATGACTAGAGCAACTGAGCAAGTACAATGCCAGCAGAATTACAAGTACATATAGTAGACTAAAACTTTGTAACAGGTATGAATTACCCATCTAACAAAGCACTAAAATACAAGGTAGTTATAACTTATAACATAAATTTCATTCAAGTAGAGAGAGCCTGTGCTCTTAGTTCGTTACTCGAACGTGTGTATACGATAAATAATCATGCCTATGTTGGAATCGAAGCATGCATAGTAATTCCACATAAATTGTTTCCTCTCTTTAACCTCATAAACCCATTCTCTCCCCAGGTTGTTCCCCAGGAATTCTTCAACAACCAATAGTCAGTCCCATCAGAATCGGTTCCGTACCCAACGACAGCAACAGCATGATTCAGCTGTGTGCCACATGGTCCTTGGAAGACTCCACCACCATATTGCTTGAACTCTAACGAGTCAGCAACAATTCCCACCGAGACAGGCTGTCGCGAAACAGCTTGCATCAAGACGTTCTCATCTTGTGTGAGTAGTGAATAGTCATTGATGGTTACTGCACTAGTACTGGCCTCGCATTGACCTTGAGTAGACAGGTATGGGTATTGAGACTCCATGGTTATGCCTTGGTTTTGTTTTATGAACTCAAAGGCGCTTACCGGGTCTCCACCACTACATCCATGGCTGTATTGATCGCAGTCTACGAGTTGCTGCTCTGAGAGCGAAATTAACTGCCCTGTTTTGATTTGATATATCCTTTCTACTGCCGCTACTGCAGAGAATGCCCAACAGCACCCTGCCGAAATTTTTTAACACAAAATGGCAAATTAAAGAAGTGCAAAACGCTTTTAGTTCCATTTTAGTTGACACGTTTTAGCATGTTTGTTAATGTATTCAAGCTTTAAAATGTTCATATTTCAATAGGCAAAAATCTTATAACAAGTTGAATATGTATATTTATTTTTTTTAAGTATAGATTACTAACCAAAATTAAAGTAACTAATGTCAACACTATCAAAGTCAAAACATGTGTTAACTGATATGAATTGAAGAAAGTATATTTGAATGAACAATATAGTGCTCACAAATTCATCTTGGTAATTGGTAAAGTGTAATTAAAATTTTTAAAGATCAAAAAATTTAAAAGTTCAATAGTAGTTGCACCATTATACCTTTGACTTTTAATACTTTTATGTTTGTCAACGCACAAATGATAAAAGTAATATATATGAATATACCTTAGGAAGGATATGCAATGCAAGTATAATAGCTTTTAAGTCTATCCCAACACTAAGCTAATTAAACAGCGAGGTAATTTAAAAATATATTGAAAACTAGTGTATGCATGAACAATACTAGAGATTATATATGTCTTTTGGTCCTTACCACATTGCCCTTGGTCCTTTATACTAGTGACAGCTCCTACGTATCTCCAATCTACCGAAGGCTGTACATCAGTAAGATTGTTGAACTGGAACGTGGATTTCATAGAGCTACTGGATGGATGAAATGCCCTCTTGTAACCGGTACGAGTAGCTACAAACTCCTCGGTAGTTAAATCGACAAAAGCATTAACACGTAACTTAAACAACTTGTTAGAATTGTTTCCATTAAAACTCTCAATACGCTCAACGTTTTCTTTAAAAATGTTGAAACGCTTCTCCTTCTCAATTTCATCTTACATAATAAATTGTGGCGCAATGACATGTATATATATATATATATATATATATATATATATATATATATATATATATATATATATATATATATAAACATAGAAAATAATAGGTTTGGCATCTCTAGGTATACCATATACTATTAGAGGGCATTCATTTTACATAATAAATTGGCTCTCTTAGCTTATTTGAGACTTATTATTATGCTTGTTAAAACTTGATTCTTTATATTATAGACCCGGGAGTTATATTTTAATTTGAACAATGTAAAATGCATAGGTTCATAGAATTAAGTTTCACTAATAAAGATATTTCTCAGGAAAAGAGCACTATTTGTATAAAGCTATCACGTCATGACATAAGGTGAAACAAAAAAAAATCCATTCACACTGGCAAAAATAAAACAACCTAATAAAACACCAACAGAAAAAATAACCTCAGAACATTGGCAAACTGACCAAAACTCACATACAGCAACAGATGATCTGGTCATTCTTTGTGCAAACTAAGGTTTGGTAAAATCATATAGGATAAGAAGCGTAGGAAGTGATACCACATTTGTTTTGACCTCTAATGATCCTCATATAACCATTTTCTCCCCAACTTTCACCCCACGAATTCTTCAACACCCAATAATCAGTCCCATATGTATCAGTCCCATACCCGACTACAGTAACAGCATGATTAATGTTATCGCGGCCACACTCCCCATTAAAGATACTATTGCTGTAGTGTCTGAAGTCAAGTCCATGAATATCAATACAAACCGCGACAGGCTGTTGCGAAACTGCTTTCATAAGGGCGGACTCATCGTTAGGAACTCTTTGAAACCCGTCTATTGTCACTGCATTATTGCTTCCAAGAGTACTAGCTTGACACTGCGACTGAGTGTCCTGATATGGGTACTCGTCCTCTGTTGATATGCCTTTGTTTTGTTGTATAAATGTAAATGATTTTGTCATCTCTCCGCCACCACAGCCGTAATCTTGAACACAATCCAGAAGTTCTTGCTCTGATAGTGAGATTAGTTGTCCTGTTTTTATTTTGTTTAGCCCTTCTACTGCCGCGACTGCTGAAAATGCCCAACAACTTCCTGTAAAATTTAAACGATATGAATCAGAAAAAAAAAAACAAAAAATAAGGCAATGTAACAGAAAAATAGTAAGTAATCAATTATTTGTTTGTATGCTCATACCGCATAACCCTTGGTCCTTAACCCCCATAACGGCTCCGAGTTCTCTCCAATCCATTGAAGGTAGGATATCATCATCGGTAAGGTTTTCATACCTAAACCGGGTTGTCCTTGTGGACATTGATTCCGAAATAAATTGTTTTTTAATACCGGTGCGAGTAGCTATTAGCTCCTCTGTGGTTAAATCCGTGAAGGCGTTTGTACCTAATGTGTACAATTTATTTGATGCATTAGCATTGAAATTATCTATGTATTCAACATTTGTCTTGAATATGTTGAAACACTTCTCCTTTTCGATCTCATCTTTGTAGACATGTCCATATTGAGCCATCCAAAGCTCGTGCCTCTTCCTTAGTGACAAACTTGCCTTGTGATCGTCGAGAGGACGTGCCAAGGGTTGGGTCGCCCAAAGCCCTAAGACAAGGACTAAGGAAAAACATAAGAGGAGTTGGAAATGTTGGTTTGTGAAAGCCATTATGATTAAGATAACAAGTGTATAGTATATATGTTGGGTATAAATGCACTTACGATAGTATAAGTGATCTATTTTTATACGCAATCTCAAGTATAGTATTCTATATAATTAGCTAAAATCCATGTTATATTATTGTTCACTAGAATTTACGTGGTTGATGTAGAATCATAATTTCTCTTCCCTCCATTACTTGTGGGTCTAAGTATGTTGTCAATCTACTTTCTCTTTCTTTTTAAAATTGTTTGCATACGCAAAATATCATTGGATATAAATCGTCTACTTTAATATAACAATAAGGTCTTGGCTTAGTGGTTGGTACAGGTCGAGAGTCTAAATCTCTGGATCAAAATCATCCTCCCCCATTTGTTATTAAATTGGAATGCATTATGTTCTTGTAGTTCATCCGGACCAAAAATAAGCTCAAAATTTATCATTTGGAGCTATGCCAAAAAATGGAGATAGAAGATAATAATGAACAAATAATTAAGACAATAATGAACCATTAAAAGAACACCTTTTGTTACTTAATTATTGCACCTTAACACTTTTCACACTATTAATTTAAGTTTTATAATTAAAGAAAATAATAGTCATATTAAGTCTTGTTAAATTTGTGTTGAAATCTATTTTTGTACGTCAAAGGTGTTCTTTTAATGGTATCAATACCTGTGGGATTATATATTAACTGTTTTTTATAGTTATACTAGGTTAGGTCCCGTGCCATGCACGGTTATTCTTAATAACTATTTTTAAAATTAATAATGAATTTTTCTAAAATATTATACGGAGTAATGAATTTATTATAAAAGAGCCTATAATGCATTTAATTATTATAAAAGAGTTTATTAGATAGATAGCTATTTTTAAAATGCATTTGACAATATGTGTTGTTCATATATTTTTCATCAATAAATTAATACAGTTTTCTTGTTGTTAACCAAATGAATTTCTTAAAACGTTGTACATTGCACTCTGTAGTCCATATGAATGTCACTAATTATGTAAAGAACTTGATTTTTTTTCCTTAAATTTATAGTTGTTAATTTTTATTTGTAGAAGGGTACATCAAATCTTTTATATTAACTACTTTTTTAATATTTGAAATTCAAATTACTTTATAAGTGGGTTTTAACATATAATTAAATAAAAAAAATATTGTTGTAATAGGTAGTACATAACATTCTGGCACACATTCTAGCACAATTATGTTAAAAATCCGATGTAATATTTATTTCTTTTTACTTAATTTTATATTTTTCTCAAAAAAAATATATAGTTGTCAATGTATATGTTATGGAAAGTCCTATCAAATCTTTTATTTATGTATTATTTTGCTATCTTTTTCATTTATGTATAAGATTTGTCAAATATTTTATTTATGTATTTTTTGCTATCTTTTTATTTATGTATAAGATTTGTTTTCTAAACATTATTTAAAAAAAAAAAAATTAAAATAAGGGACACACCAGAAAATGACACGTGTCATTGCTGGTGTGTCTTTTAGTATATAGTTATTGATATGTTACATAATTGATGATATATGAGGTTGAAAATGTGTATCGGGAATATGGGATGTGGAAATCCCCCACTCCCTCCCTTCCCCCCCCCCCCCCTCTGCAACCTCCGAATGCATTATGTAGGGAGTGAATATAAATTTAATATAAACTACACCCGAGTGTGTAATGAAAATTACTTAATAATAAGACCCCTCCAATCCTCCATCAAGAAAATAGTTATGTTTATATTGTATTATACTGATGGAGTCCCTAGAGATTTGATGATCACCCATAGTTGAATAACGCAAATGTACACCATGTACAAAATACCATATACAATATATTCTGTAGTTGTATAAGGTTGAGTGCTGTCCGTTCACATTTTAAGAAGATAAAATTGTGTTGAACCTAATAAGAATGGACATAATAAGTCTAAGAAAGGGTGGTGATGACTAGTACTATTCACAGTATTTAGCATTTGATATGATAACAAGATGTTAAGTTGCAACGCTCCACCGCCGAGCCCATTAGCATGACATAATTTGTCTGGATTACAGAACTTAGTTCCTTTATTTTTGGATGTTTTCGGCAATTATTTCTGGCTATTGTTTTATTGAAGTAATGGAAAGGAAATAAGGAATTAAATGGAAGAAGAAATGACAAATGTAAATGGATTATTAGCCTATAACCATCCTAACATGTAGGGTCTATTCTCATGAGTCATGACCATCCCAAAATAAAAAAAAAATAAAAAAAAATATATGATTAAATAAAAATAATAAGAATAACACAAGCTTATATATGTGGCTGGTCACACCATGTGGCAAGTTATCATAGAGATTACTTTGTCATTGTTATAGGGGTTACTTGATCAGTGATACATGGGTTAATTCGTCAATGTTACAGAGGTAATTCGATTAGTGTTAGGTGTTATTCGATCAGTTAGTAATACATGTGTTACTTGATAAGTGTTATAATAGGGGATACTTTATTGGGCCACATGGTGTGACTAGCCGCACACAAATGTTGTAGTAATAATAATAGTAATAATGATAATGATAATGATAATGATAATGATTATAATAATAATGATAATAATAATAATAATAATAACCTCTCGTTAGGGCGATTAGGGCTGGGCGTAGGGTGGGTCTCCGGCGGCTTTAAGTCCTCTAGGGTCAGGCGACGGTGCTTGGTGTCGGCGCCTTTAGGTCAGGCTATTTTCTGGCGGTTTCCACGATTCAATTGGTGTAGTATTTGGGCGAAATTCAGGCTGTTTCGGGCTTCATTGGTGAGATTTTTAAAGTGCAATTTTCAGGTGGCTTCCACGTCATTATTCCAACAGCTTCTCCGGCACAGGGCCAGGCTCAGCAAAGGTTCCGATTACCCGTCGTATTTCCGTTGAAGAAATTGGCAGATATATATTTCACGAAGGTCACTACATCTGTAGAATCCACTTTCTCCTTATCTCCACGTCAAGTTGCCTTATGGAAGTCCCAGCAAGGGGATCACACTTCTGCCTGGTTGCGAGCGGTCCCGATATCTGGTTTGGGTCAAACTATGGATGGTAAGACTTACCGTTGTGTTTTTTGCTACCAGTTGGGTGTTCCCTTGTTCTCCGTTTCGACACCGTGTTATGCTTGCTCAAGGTTTTTTGATTCGGATATTTATGGGGATCATGTAGTGTCTTGTGCTGGGATGGTGGGTATTAAACATCGGCACAACGTTGTTCATGATACCCTTGTTGATATTTGTTTCCGCTCTGGGATTTCTGCAAGAAAGGAGGTTAACGTTGGGTTGACTGGAGGGAACAACGGGGCTCTTCGACTTGCAGATGTGTTGCTTTACTCCTAGGATAGAGGCCTTGATATATGTGTTGACTTGACGGGGTCTTCTCCTTTGACACAATCAGGGTTGTCTGACTTCGTTCCTGGTCGTGTTGTGTCGACTGCGGATCAGCGGAAGCGAGACAAATATGGGGCGCGTTGCAGGGCTATTGGCTATGGTTTTCTTCCTTTCTCCTTTTCTTCATTAGGGGAATTAGAGAAGGATGTTGTTGCGTTGCTGATGCGGGTTCAGGCACTCGCTGGGACGTAGGATATTGGTGCTCGTGCAGCTGCTCACATCTTCAACAGGATCGAGTTCGCTATAGCTAGAGGGGTGGGGGCCCAGATTGTATCTCGGCTCCCCACTAATTTCTTGTAAATCGTTTGACTTTGTAGGTTTTTGTTATTTTTAATAATAATAATAATAATAATAATAATAATAATAATAAATAATAATAATAATAATAATGATAATAATAATAATAATAATAATGATAATAATAATAATAATAATAATACTAATAATAATAATAATAATAATAATAATAATAATAATAATAATAATAATAATAATAATAATAACAATAAATTATGTTTTCACATTGAAGAATTTATCCTAATATCTAACAAACGGGATGACATATTTACCGTTTATTCTTTTTTAATAAATTTAATTGTCAAGCTACATACTATCAACAACAAATAAGGTTGCATTATAAAATATATCAAAAAAATTTATACTATTCTAATATGCAATAGCAATTTAATTAAATTATTACAAAGCTTTTTCGTTATAAGAAAATAGCTTTTTTCTGATGGCTTTTATCCATCGGAAACCTACCCAAATCCATCGCAAAATTCCTTTCCGACGGTTTTCCATCAGAAAACTTCTGTTGGAAATACCTTTGTCGGAAAATCCAACTATTTTGATGGAAAAATCGTCGGAAATGAACTTTTCGATGGATTTTCCGATGGATTTTAAGCCAAAGGAGTTTAGTAATTTCTGATGGCTTAAAAACCATAAAAAATGTAGGATTTTCCGACGGTTTAAACCATGGGAAATTTCCTATGGCTAATGACCGTAGGAAATTTCTTATGGCTTAAACCATTGGAAAATAAATATTTCCGATGGCTTTGAGCCATAGGAAATTTCCTATAGTCATGAAAACCATCTGAAATGTCTAATATTTCCTATGGCTTAAAGCCATCGGAAATTTCCTTTGGTCAACAGCCATAGGAAAATCCCTTTAATTCCGATAGATTGACACTTGGATTTCAATGTATATTTCCTTTTGTTTCCTATTAACCTGCACATAGTGACCTGTTTTTGGCAAACCTGGTTATATGAAATAGTAATTTAATATAGAAATACGTAAATATATATATATATATATATATATATATATATATATATATATAAAAGGTTCATAGATTAGATTAGAGTAGATTAGTTATATAAAAAGTGCAAATATTAATGTTGCTAGATTAGTTATATATACAAACTGCAAATTACGCACAACTAGAAGTTAGACACAAGCTTTGGTAGCATGACCTCCACCACTGCCCGAGTCGTCTCAAGGGTCTTGATGCTAAGGCTACAACGTAGAACAAGTGTCGTTGTTGAATCCAGATATGCGGTTCATCATCTCGTCTATATTCTCCTTGTTTTGCCTCTCCATTGCAGCAATCTGGGCGGAAACTTAGGCCTGGACGTGGGT